TTGATCATGTGAGAACCTTGTGATTTTTAAGGGAAATAGTATATTTATCATTAAGCATGCCGAATGGTTAGCTGTTAAATGGCTGATAAAATATAGAAGTTTAAGGTATATTGATTGAGAACCTTGTGATTTTAAGGAAAATAGTATATTTTATCATTAAGCATGCCTAATGGTTAGCTGTTAAATGGCTGATAAGATATAGAAGTTTAAGGTATATTGATCATGTGAGAACCTTGTGATTTTTAAGGAAAATAGTATATTTATCATTAAGCATGCCGAATGGTTAGCTGTTAAATGGCTGATAAGATATAGAAGTTTAAGGTATATTGATCATGTGAGAACCTTGTGATTTTTAAGGAAAATAGTATATTTATAATTAAGCATACTGAATGGTTAGCTGTTAAATGGCTGATAAAATATAGAAGTTTAAGGTACATTGATCATGTGAGAACCTTGTGATACTCTGGGCTGTCTGTGTTAATTCCTCAACACTCTTTAATCTTTGAAAATGTGAAGAATATCACCTGCTGTGTGGACCAAAGGTCAGGATAATGCTACGGTCTTCAACCTTTAATCATTTCTGCTGCAATCGGATAGTCTTCCCCTTGAACTCTAACCTTGCCATCCTTCCCTTCTTATAAGACCCCAGAAACCTACTCACTTTGCAGAGTTATCTCCCTTGGGCAGGCTGAAAACATGATCATGGTTGTAGACAGGATACATGGATTGCGTGGAAGACTCGGTTAAGTGGCTGTGAAGTACTGCATCTTCAATAGAGGATCATGTATCTTTAATATCGAATCATGCTTCCTCAATAGAGGATAATGCATCTTCAATAGAGGATCATGCATCTTTAATAGGAATCATGCTTCTTTAATATCGGATCGTGCATCTTCAATAGAGGATAATGCATCTTCAATAGAGGATCATGCATTTTTAATAGGGAATCATGCTTCCTCAATAGAGGATAATGCATCTTCAATAGAGGATCATGCATTTTTAATAGGGAATCATGCTTCTTCAATAGAGGATCATGCATCTTCAATAGAGGATCATGCATCTTCAATAGGGATCATGCATCTTTAATATCGGATCATGCATCTTCAATAGAGGATCATGCATTGTCAATAGGGATCATGCATCTTCAATAGAGGATCATGCATCTTCAATAGGATCATGCATCTTCAATAGAGGATCATGCATCTTCAATAGAGGATCATGCATCTTCAATAGAGGATCATGCATCTTCAATAGGGGATCATGCATCTTCAATAGAGGATCATGCATCTTCAATAGAGGATCATGCATCTTCAATAGAGGATCGTGCATCTGCTAATAGGGGGATCATGTATCTTCAATAGAGGATCATGCATTTTAGCTCGGATCATGCATCTTCAATAGAGGATCAATAGGGAATCATGCTTCTTCAATAGAGGATCATGCATCTTCAATAGAGGATCATGCATCTTCAATAGAGGATCATGCATCTTCAATAGGGGATCATGCATCTTCAATAGAGGATCATGCATCTTCAATAGAGGATCATGCATCTTCAATAGGGATCATGCATCTTCAATAAAGGATCGTGCATCTTCAATAGAGGACCATGCATCAGGTGATAGGGGATAAAATGCATCTTCAATAGAGGATCACACATTTTCAATAGACAATTATGCATCTCAGGATCATGAATCTTTTTTCAGTGATTGTAACATGCACAAACTGACAAAAATCAATGATATATACAGTATGCTGGACGTATAATGTAACTTGTTCCCAATAAAGGTTTTCATGATATTTTAGATGTGAGATAAGACTTTAGTATCCCGAGGAGCATGTTTTCTTATACCATAAGAATCTCAACAATGAAACAAACAAAATCATCCTGAATGCAGTACGTAATAGGTGGGTATCACAGGGTACTATATTTTTTCTTATCTTTCATTAGATGGATCAACTGATGTTTCACTTGTGTGCTAGTTATATCTTTTATCAGAGATCAAATTTGATGGTAATGACATGCCTAGATAAAGACCAGCTCTCAAACCATCCTCTCTAGCCCCACAAAACTATAGTCCTATGTTGTGGTGGGTGTTGTGGGGTCTTCCTGAAGGTATACTGTGTTGATTCAATTTTGTTAAAGTGTTGTATAATCGGTATATACCACTTCAATGTGCCCTCACTATAACACTTACTTTATATTCCTGAATAACGTTCGAATAACTATGATTAATGTTCCCTGAATAACGTTATGATTAATGTTCCCTGAATAACGTTATGATTAATGTTCCCTGAATAACGTTATGATTAATGTTCCCTGAATAACGTTATGATTAATATTCCCTGAATAACGTTATGATTAATATTCCCTGAATAATGTTATGATTAATGTTCCCTGAATAACGTTATGATTAATGTTCCCTGAATAACGTTATGATTAATGTTCCCTGAATAATGTTATGATTAATATTCCCTGAATAACGTTATGATTAATATTCCCTGAATAACGTTATGATTAATATTCCCTGACTAATGTTATGATTTATATTCCCTGAATAATATTATTATTGATAATCCCTGAATAACATTGTGATAAATAATCCATGAATAACATGATTGATAATCCCTGAATGATGTAATGATCAATAATCCATGTTCATGCCGCTGGCTGTCACCAAAACGGTTAATGTCTGTGACCATCTTTTTATTACTATTTTCCTTCCAAATTGGATCAGCGCCCCTTCTTGAATGCTGGGATGTAACTGAATTTGTTTTATGAAAATCTGTGACTTCCTAACTGCCACTTCTATCAATGGCCTCCAGAAAGTGCTGGTTTAAACGGACAAACAGGTGTTGTAACAAAGAGGTGAAACGTCTCGTTCCAGATTATTCACTTAGGGACCGTTCTTAATTTATGGCAAGGGGTGTGTGATGATGATTTTTATGTAGAAGCATGTACAATGTGAATGGAAACCAAAAACCCCGCGACGCGACGCGACGCGACGCACGCGACGCGACGCGCGACGCGACGACGCGACGCGACGCATACGCGACGACGACGCGACGCGACGCGACGCGCGACGCGACGCGACGCGACGCACACACACACACCCCAAACCCCCACCCCACATACACATTTCTGTACAAAGTAAGTGTCTCCCCTGCATATCATGTACAAAATGAATGATCCCCCCTCCTTCCCATAATTTTTAAACATAATTTTAATTTTTAACATATTTTTATGTACAAAATTGCTGAGCCCCCACTACCACGTCAGACCCACCCTTAAAATCATCATCGACCCCCCCCCTAGCAATAAATTATGTACGATCCCTTTCACAGTGCTCTGTAAAATGCTGCTTGTACTACTCCCGATTAATATAAGTTGGGGGGGGCTTGTCGGCTGAGATACCATGATGCAGCTGAACAGGGATAGCCCACACAAACACTTGGTGCTGACACCAAGACAACCTGTCTTGTTTATCTGCTTAAGGGGCGGTGGGGTAGCCTAGTGGTTAAAGCGTTCACTCGTCATGCAGAAGATCGGGTTTGATACATGTGTACATTGTGTGAAGCACATTTCTGGTGCCCCCTGCTGTGATATTGCTTGAAAATTGCTAAAAGCGGCATAAAACAAAACTTGCTTGCTCATCCGCTTAATGTCGTATCATAACTCAGAGATGATATATTTTTATTTTAAATAAATACCAACACCATTGTAATTCTAAGAAAAGAATATATAATTAAGCCCTCATTATTTCATAATGTTTGGTTTATGATAGTAAAATTTTGAAAAAAGCCCATTGAAACGAAATATGTAGATATGCAGAGAAAAGTATTTCTTTCAAACTGTCTTGTTGTATGATGTTTTATGAGTCGTGGTGGATATCTCGCTGTCGTGCACACTTGTCACATTTTGTCCTCGAGGTCATCAGTTACTAATGAGATCTTAGAACCTCATTCGTTAAATCCATCAGTTTCGCTGGTGTTGTTGATGTTGGTACCTTCATGTATACACAAATGTACCAATTGTAATGTATACACGTATGTGCCTAGGGAACACTCTGTATACACGTATGTGCCCAGGGAACACTCTGTATACACATATGTGCCCAGGGAACATTCTGTATACACATATGTGCCCAGGGAATGTTCTGTATACACAAATGTGCCCAGGGAACTTTCTGTATTCACAAATGTGCCCAGGGAACTTTCTGTATTCACAAATGTGCCCAGGGTACATTCTGTACACACAAATGTGCCCAGGGTACATTCTGTGCACACAAATGTGCCCAGGGAACTTTCTGTATACACAAGTGTGCCCAGGGTACATTCTGTATACACGTATGTGCCCAGGGAACTTTCTGTATACACAAGTGTGCCCAGGGTAAATACTGTATACACGTATGTGCCCAGGGTACATTATGTATACACAAATGTGCCCAGGGTACATTCTGTATACACGCATGTGCCCAGGGAACTTTCTGTATACACAAATGTGCCCAGGGTACATTCTGTATACACGTATGTGCCCAGGGTACATGTTGTATACACAAATGTGCCCAGGGTACTTCCTTGGGGGTACAACTGTGAAAACAGAAAGGTACCTGCATCGACAACAACCTTAACAGCATCGGTTTCATTAACGCAGGAGTGTGTGTAGTTGTATAGACTTGTGATGATTATGATGATGATATACCTCAGTTAGATGAACATGAGTGATGTTCTGAAAGTATTCGGTTTGCATTGAACAACTTTCTCAAGTTATGATCTTGGACACATCTATTGTTTTTTTTCCTTCAATAATTAGGAAAATATTTACATATTTTAATTATTTCTAAATATTTGGAATATTGATTGGAACTATAATACCAAATTAAATAAAAAATTATATTTGTGATCATTGAGTGATGTGTTTTAATTCAAGTATATAGATTGCTAGGTGACAATAGAACAATTCAGAGACAAAGAGTGGTATTCTATGGAGCTGTACAATAGAATCTGTTTTATATAGCTTGTTTTTATGAATGTACTAGTTTCAACATAATTTATAAATTCTTCAGTGGATTACAATGCTAGATGGGGTTGCAGAAAAGGGTCTCCTCATATAACGTTTTTAAAGAATATACTAATTTCACAACATTAATCCCCTTGCAAATTATTACACTGAATGACCAAAGATTTATTGTTACAAAATGGTTCTGATGAAAATATGTTCTACGTGATCACTGTTTGGTTCATTCAGAACTTTCCAAACAGTTTGATTAAAGTGTGGATTAATAACCTACCTGTTTATCAATCTTGTACATTTGTCCTTATCAAGTGAATACTATTTGTTGCTTTCAATATATATGATGCGTTTATATGCTGTGTGAACAAATATTGAGCCCTGGCTGCGCCGATGGGGATGTTGAGGAATATGTTAACACTGTCTTAGTGCTTTGAACCAAAAATGCAGTTCAGAGGAACATATTTTGTAAATCTTATTAAATCAATGCAGACTGTTATTAAATGTAAACATTGTATTTGTCTTCAAATGTATATTTTTCCACATTCTTCATTGATGATTGACTATTGAATGGTTATATGTTGACAGAGAGGTGGTCAACTTGTATTAGCATATTTCAAGGGAGGTGGGTGGTTTGTGGACGTTGGCGGCTAGCACCCTGATATGTTGACAGAGAGGTGGTGAACTTGTAGTAGCATATTTCAAGGGAGGTGGGTGGTTTGTGGACGTTGCCGGCTAGCACCCTGATATGTTGTAGATATTGTACTATACCAAAGAGATTAGGAGGAAGCTTTGAAATATGCTTGTACTGTGTTGGGATTGTGTGACTGAAGAGGTCAAGGTATGTTTAATGATGTCACATCTGAGGTCATCACATCTGAGGTTATCATATCTGATGTTGTGACATCACAGTTCAGATGACATCCTAACAATGAGTAAGAAATCACAATCTGTGTACCATGACAGTTTGACATTATGTTACGTATGTCATCTTTGACATTACAATCTGTATGACACTCCAGTCCCTGCATTAGGATATGTATAATGTCTTGTATGACATCAAGGTCATTTACACAATATCATGTGACATCAGATATCACAGTCTGTATGACATCAAGGTATGTGTAATGTGATGTGTGATATCACTCTGTATACCATAAGGTATAAAAATGTCATGTGATGTGATATCACTCCATATATCTTAAGGTATATATAGTGTCATGTGACATCTGATATCACACTCTGTATGACATTAAAGTATGTGTAATGTGATGTGTGATATCACTCTGTATACCATAAGATATAAAAAGGTCATGTGATGTGTGATATCACTCCATATATCTTAAGGTATAAATAGTGTCATGTGACATCTGATATCACAGTCTGTATGACATCAAGGTATATAATTGTCATGTGATGTGTGATATCACTGTATATCATAAGGTATATGTAATGTCATGTGACACCTGATATCAGAGTCTGTATGACATGAAGGTATGTGTAATGTGATGTGTGGTGTCTCTGTATGATATCAAGGCATATATAATGTCATGTGATGTGTGATATCCTTCGTATGCCATAAAGTAAAATTTGTGTCATGTGGCATCTGATATCACAGTCTGCATGACATCAAAGCATGTGTAATATGATGTGAAATTTGATATCAATCAGTATGAACAGTCCAATGACGTCATCCATACCATGATGTCACAATCTGTATGACATCACAGGCCGTATGACATCAAGACTTGTATCATGTCACATGTGAGATGTCATTGTCTATATTTCAACAGGTATGATATCTGACCAATTTAGACCTCACCTGAATTGCGCTATTTTTGTGAAGATTGTGAAAATTGGTCAAATATTTGATGACTGTATTGCACAAATGAAAACCACACTATGAAACAAGTTGCACATGAACCCTTATTTGCTTTATGTACTAGAAAGGCTGATTTGCAATGATTTATTCTTGAAGATTCAATATACACCCAATATTGTCTTTGTGTTCTTTGCTATGAAAACTAAGGTAAAATTTCCAGGCAGTGCCATATTATGTTTTCATTTAATCTTTGATGTTAGTGGAATTTTTTGGAAAAGATGGTGGTCAAATCCATGCATTGATTATAGTAGTTTTTAATAAGTGAAAATAAATTTCAAGTTTTCTCTGTGAGCACTAAATTTACAGAACAATATCAGGAGTGGAAATAACCCATTGCCCGACGTCCCAGTCCAGTGATTATTTCTGTCGGGCAAGCAAATTTGTATATCATGCTGTACCGGTGTCCAGTTGATTTACCAATGTTAATTATGTTGATTATTTAAAAAATGAACAAGAAAATCGGCCGGTATAGTGGAAAAATTATCAGGGCAAGTGATTTTACATGTGCCACTGTACTGGAGTACGCTAGCAATTTTAAAGTTATTTCCACCCCTGAATATATTTTATTCTGAAGTTCTTAATTTTATCAGATGCTGTTGATGCTTGAAATGAATAGGTTTTCAGTTTTCAGGGTGCTTTTCTGGTAAGACCCTTTGAAATTTCTATGTTTCAGACTCTTGGCTCCATCGAGTCTGGAATTCTTTTTTGTTTTGTTTAAAACAGAATGATTTTATTGTAGTAAATCATAATTCTGCCAAATATTTTGTGGTTCTGCCGAGAGAGAGAATTCCAGTGGAAATGAGAATGAGGCTGTGATCACATGCAGGTCATGTGATAATGATCACATGACTATTGTCAACAATCTATAAATGTCAGATAGTAATATTTTAATGATATTTAAACAACTTGTAGACATGTCAAACTGAGTAATATGTACATGATTATGTTTTCATTTTGCATGAGGAGCTTAATAGGAAAAAAATACAATTTTTATACCAATGAAGGGTATTTGATAAAGTTTGTTATAATACTGCATTTGAAATAAATAGCACCCTTAAAGTTGATTCAGACAATAAATAGGAAAAGAGATTTCAGGTAACCTGAGGACTATTCTTTGACTGTAGCAAGTCTCATCTGCGATCTCTCAACTGCGATTTGTCTTATGATGGGGCTCGTCACGCCGAAGGCCCGGGTTCGATTCCCCACATGGGTACAATGTGTGAAGCCGATATCTGGTGTCCCCCGCCGTGATATTGCTGGAATATTGCTAAAATCGGCGTAAAACCCAACTCACTCACTCACTCTGATGATGGGGTATCAATATGTGGAATCAGTCCACAAGGGGCGGATACAGCTTTTTGAGAAAGGGGGGTGCACACTATTGAGAAAAGGAGGGGGGCACACTTCATTTTCACCGAGGTTCTGGATCTAACAAACTTTCAGCTCAAAAGGGGGATCTGCCTATGCTGGGTATATGTTCAAAATGGGAGTTAATATTGTCTTTCAATTAAAAATCTCTTTGTGGACAAGGGGCGATGAATTTCTAAGTAATGTGGTGCTGAATATTTCAAATGTGGTATTCATGCTTTGAATTGTTTTGTGTAGATTTTAGGTAGATTTTCATGACTGTCATGTAACTGAATGTATTAACCCAGGGTCTCAAGTCTTCAATCAGGGACTGTACTGACTTGTGTCAGTATATCTTAGAGAGTCGATTTTGAAATGCTGTGGCTTATGTGAAATGTGCTCTGACAAATGTCTTGGGTCATGTGTTTATCAAGTATTGTACGTCCTTGACGTTGCTGGTTGTCAGTCATTAGTTGCTGTTGGTGAAGTAGGTTGCCCTATTTGCTACACAGTGTAACCATGCTATCTATGCAGTGCTATGAACTATATTGCAGCCTGTTCTTGATTTCATTTGCTGCATTTAGATCTGACTGCTCACAAAATCACATGAAATGCAGAGATGACAAGTCAATGCTATATGGTAAACATTTTGAGCCTTCAAGATGTTTCCTAACTTGGTTTTACATGAGGTTCAAGACTGTAATATTGACTACCATTATAGTGTGTGTTAGCAGTATATTTAAGGCAGAGGTCACACTGTTACAATGGAATCTGTCTATCATGGACTGGCCTGGAACAGACTCATTTGTCCGGATTATACAGCAGTCCGGATTAGTCAAATTTTGTCTGTTACCATAGACATGCCATGATGTTTCGCTGGTCGGTCTGACATAACTATGAAGTGAATCTGTCATTTATAGGACTTCAAAGTCACACTGATTTAATCCTGTCACATTAAATAATGTGTGTTTATAGAATTAATTAACCATTGAGAAAAGAAGTAACGGGGATGTTTATTCAACGGACTGTTATTTTAGTCAGCTAGATCCGCATTACAAAGCACTGGTGATTGTCAGGACTGTTATTTTAGTCCGTAATCTGTAATTGAGAGAGTCCGGATTATAAAACAAGCTTTAATGATAAATTAAGAACAATTTTGCCAGGACTCAGAGAGTACTGTAGTCCGGATTATGGAGAAAAATGGTTTACAAAGAGTCAGGATTTGACAGATTTCACTGAATATTGGCTGTTATATGCTATATATAGGCTGTATGTAGCAGAGACTATAGACAAGAGATTGGCTACTGTATAGCAAGGACCAGACACTGATGTTTCAGCTAAATATCGGAGATGATGGCACTGAGTTTACAAGATTTTCTTGACCTTCTGACAGAATTTTCTATCAAGAAAACAATACAGCCAGTTTAAATTAGATTTCAAATGCATGATAATTGAAAAAGGGGATTTAAACTGGGATTAACCATTTGTCTTGTAGTCTCTTTGAACACTGATACTGACGTGATTGTTATAGGATAATCGATTTCCTGGGACATTTGTTGGAGCTGTTGATGTTGAACTATTGTTATATGTGAACCCTAACATGTTGTATTTCCATTGACAACCCGGTGATGATGTTGATGAAGCGATTGTTGCTTGTATCAGAGGTCTATTTTGTTTCATCTCTTTGTGGTAGTAGGAAACGTAGAGGCTATGTACATACTGCCATGTTATTTGGCATGATAAACAATAGAAATAAAGTCAGATTACAAACCAGTTGGTTATAGTTATATTTTTATTTTAGTATTTTATGCTACCTATGAAAAGTTTCGACTCACTGGTGTAAATGTAGCCACTTACTTCAGTCAACTGTTCTAAACTAGATTTTGCAAAGTATTCCATACTGTGTGAAGGTACTGTTTACACATGAACTGATGTATTGTAAAACAAAGTCGTAACATTGAAAAGATTATTGTCACGAGTTCAGTAACAATTGGCGAATTCTTCACAAAACTTAACACTAAAATCAGCGTTCGAAATGCCTGCCCGACCGCCCGGGATGGGTTATTTTCAACATGGACTACCAGATTCTCACATTCACCTGCCCGACGGTCGGGTTAAACTTTAGACATGTACATGTATATGAAGATATTTTATGGGCAGGTAAGTTTTATATCTAAGAAGCCCTGTGGTCTGGTTGAAATGTCTGGAAGTTTCATACCCTGCCAAAATACAGCTGTTAACATGCACAATATTTGCACATGCTTTTCAACGATTTAATGCATGATCCTTGTACAATTCATCTGCATATGGTTTGCAGTTGGTTCCCCCAAGTTAGTGGAGAAATTCATTTTCGATGTAACCATATATATATGAGTCATTCTCAAAATTCGTGCATATTTATGTTATATGTTTGTACCCGACAAACTCAAGTAAAAAATTTAAAAAAATTACGGTATCTAATTTATCTCAGTTTATTCTACACTTTACAGTAACAAAATTGGGGAAAAAATATTTTTATATTATTTTGAAACCCCCAAACCACCAAATTTTTCTCAATTTTCATGTGTCACAACTCCAGTGGCCGATGTGCAATTCGATTTTTTTTTCTTTTTCATGTTTTCCAAAGGAAATATTTTAACATATCATAATTAATGATGTTACAGCTACATGCTTGGCGTGGTTTGGCCTTTGTTGTATGGAAAAACATTTTGTAAAAAAAGGTCAAACTTTGTCACAAGGTTTGATGTCACTACCGTAACGTCATCCCAAAAATTGCAATGATTACTCCCTGTACTGTCTTCTGATTCTACTTCATGTTTGAAAGCAATGGCACTGAGGAAACATGACAGTCAACACCGACACAAAAACATTATTTTATTCTGAATTTTATCGCAAAAAAGGTGTGTACAAAATGATATCTGAGATTTTTGCATGTCCTAACCGTTATGGTGGCTACCGCTGAAACCAATTAATTTGGTGAAGCCAAACAATGCCAAGTACCTTAGACAGTAGGGGAAATCATTTGAAACCATGTGCTCAGTAAACTTTGGGGACCATTTATTGTTTTAAAACTGATATTATTAGTGGCTGTCACTACCGTTACGGTCACTGCCGTTATCATAGGTTTTGTTCGGTAAGGACAGATTTTGTGACGGCAGTGACATTTTTCTAGTTTAATGTTGTTTGTATCTAAATTTGCAATTCAAAGATTTCAAATGTTTTGGAATCTTATTTAACATAAAAAAATTGTATCAAATTAATAAAATCAATAAGCATATAAGTATGATTTTTTTGTTACGGTAAGGACAGGGAAGTGTAACAGCTGTGACAAAGAAGAAAATGACTGTGATAGGGCCGTTACAGTAGTGACATTACATACCGTCACAATGTCACTGCCGTAACATGCTGTCTTTACCTGTTTTTTACATGACAGGAACATCCGTAAGTAAATCTTTTGCCTATTACATATTCTTCAAACATTCTTAAATATCTGATTGACTAATTTCATAAAATTATCTTTTAAAGTAAACATATAAAACTGGCTATTATTACAAATGTACCTACCGTTATTGTGTCACTACCGTAACAATTAATTCCAATGTCCATGCCATAACAATATCATTTTCCTTATTTAATTAAAATTGATTTATCTGTTTATGTCTGGAATTTGTAATGCAACTATGTTTGGTAGTAGAGCTTCAAGTAAGCATACTATGATTCATATTCTCATTTTGAATTATTCGCTCCATATTACTCTACACTTGCAAATCAGAAATGAAAGAATTTTTGTGGCTTGTTGGCCCCTATTAAGCAATAACTATAAAATTTAAAAACTCATTAGCCATGTTATATTGTAAAACTAGAAAGTTTAATATATATGTACATTCAATAAATATCATCTTTGGATTTTTTATTTTCAAAATGTTATAAATTTCGTAACGGTAGTGACGCAATTTCATGAAATTTCTAATAAAAGGGGTAAAATATGAAAAATGAAACATCGTTAAGCTTGCATAATTTGTTTGTATACGTAGGAACGTAATCAACAACATTTCAAAGTAAAACCAGAAAACCAAATTTACAATTTTTGCCTACATGAAAAATGCACAAATTTTGAGAATGACTTCGTATATATATATACACACACACACACACACACACAACATAGTGAGTGCTTTAAGTGAGTCTAAACTTTCAATGGGTAGTATATATTCTGGAGTGTCTGGAATTGATATATGAAAATAAGAGAAAAAGTTGTTGGCGGAGCCAATGGGGGTATTCGAACCCACCCCCACCCCCTCCCCCAAAATACCTGGATCCGCCCGTGAATTGTGCTATGCATTGAGAATGTTGAGTGCGAAGTTTTCTTGACCCTTTGACCGAGTTGGGTTTGCAACTCAGAAACAATTGCTTTGTATTGCTTTTCAGAGGAGACAAATGAATATCTTAAAGGCATGAGAGAAAAGTTAATCATGAGCATATTTAAGAGTGAAAAGCATTTTCAAATTTCCTTATGATAGATGATCTTGATTCTAAATTGTGGAGACAGCAAGTCATGGCAGAAGTGTGATCCAAACTCCAATATTCAGTTCTATCTTTTGACAAGCAGCATCCAGGCACTTAGCAAGCCATTTTTTTCGTGTAAGCCTGATAGGTTGCAAAGTTTTATATTTAGATAGTATTGAGGGCTTGCCCAACGTTTTAAGCAACAATCATGTGTAAGCTCAGGCTTTTTCCTATAACAGTAGCTACGCCTCTGGCATCCCAACTGAATATGGCGTCCTGTCTGACTACTCCTACTTGACACCCAGTCTGTCATACATCGTACTGGTTCCCTACTATGTTGTGGAAATCAAGCCGTCTGGAAATTGCATTTCAAATGCACTTGGTGACCCTGATTCTAACAGTCACAAGACAGTTCTGTAAATAGGAACTACTTTCAGCTTTAGGATCAAGTCTGAAAATTGAAATCAAAACACTTAATTCTTGACTAAACATCTCATAAAATCCCCATTGAAACCAATAACTGAATTTAGGATTTGAATATATCCATAGGTTTCCCATAAGAATTGAGTGTTGCATCCTGTGCCCCTTTCTGTACTGACAAATCAGAAAAACAAAGGGTATTTTCATGATGACTTTATTCGATCAAACAGTATCTGGAATTCCATCACAAAAGGTACATTCTAAATTACCATTCTTGGGTAGAAATATAGAGATAAAGAACCATACCAAGATTTATGCTCCAACCAAAGAAAATAACGTTAACATTTTTTTAACTTGTGATCAAAACTGTAAACAAGTCATGCAAAACTTCAACTCTTAATAAGATGTCTCAAATCATAATAAGAAAAACATCCACAAAAGCTGATGTCAGTCAAAGGCAACCTCAAACATAGTTCTATATCATTGCCCTAGGATATTTTTCAACCAAGTCAATAAATAAGCATTGTTTTTGTCTCAAATCATGAAAAACATTCAAACAAAAAATCATATCAAGCGACAACTGGCAAGTCAACCTGATTGAAAATTCAGCCATGTTTATTGAAAAATGTCATCAAGATGTTTTTGCATGATTCTGAAGTGACATATTTACAGTTAATGTATATATACAATATTTACAATAAGTTAGGGGCATCATCACTGTAGTCATCTTACATGAATATTCTGTAACAGAGATTGCCAACACGATCTTTTTGGTTTGAGAAATTATCAGAAAAAAATGATTAAGGCTCTTTTCGCTGACAATGTTTGTCCTCAAACAGAAAAGTTATCGCAAGACACAGCAATCCATTATATATCAGGACTGATGGTCCTAATTTTGGAATTTTAAATATAAAATGAAGAAAATTCATGCTATGAACAATTATTTACACATAAATACCTCTCATTTTAAGAATTCCATGAAAAATGTATTACACTTGAACATCAGTTCAGGATGACAAAACAAAACTGCAAATATAAGATGCTGAATATGAAAAATGTCAAAGAACTGAAACACGATATATGGATATAGCATTCAGGTCAATACAAAAATACTTAGTTCACTTTATTGAAAGGTCGAAAAGGAAAGTAATCTGGCAGCAATAGCTTATTTGCTATTCCAAGTTCCAGTAGTTCCTGCATCAACCTGAACACATCTTGTAGATTTACAGTCTGTACAACATACACATTTCCAATTAAGACTTTCAACATTTTTTTTCTCTAATGGTTGCTCCATAGTTCTTTCAATTGTTCTCCCATTTCCATAGAAACACCAAAAAAATACTCAAAATAAAGGTGAGGGTTCATAATATACAATTAGATCCACATCTTGTACAAGAATCTTGTATTCAAGAAACAGGAATTTCACCAAAGATGCCAGTTTGTACATGATATACAACCTGGATCCACATCTTGTACAGGTTTCTTGTATTCAAGAAACAGGAATTTCAACAATGTTTGTACATTATATACAACTTGATTAGTATCTGCTTCAAGCATCAAGAATGTCTGATAATACATCTCCACAACTGTCTTTCACTCCCAGCACTAGCTGTGTAGGTGCCACAAATATACCTACAACACATTTTGTATAGCAGCAAGTCTCTGAATCTTGCAGTGTAGTTTTAACTGTCTTTATCCAGGCCGCTGCATGTTGCACTGTGATCTCCATCTGGTTTATCCCGTTCAGAGATCTAGTCTTCATCACTGTCCTCATCACCTTGACCTGAATAACGCGGGCTGGTTGGGGAGTACTTGGGTGTGGTTGGGGTGTATGTGGGGGAGGTTGGGGAGTACTTGGGGCTTGTTGGGGTGTATGTGGGTGATGTTGGGGAGTACCGAGGGCTGGTAAGAGAGTATGTTGGGGAGGTTGGGGTATATTTGGGACTAGTTGGGGAGTAGGTGGGAGAGGAGGGTGAGTACTGAGGTGAGCTGGGACTGTATTGTGGGGAGGAGGGGCTGTACTCGGGGGACTGGGGGCTGTACTGTGGGGAGGTTGGGGTATAGTTGGGGGACGAGGGGGAGTACTTGGGGCTGCTTGGGGAGTAGGAGGGGCTGGTTGGGCTGTATTTTGGGGATGTTGGAGAGTACTGTGGAGAGCTGGGGGAGTAAGATGGGCTGCTGGGGGAATAGGATGGACTGGTTGGAGTGTATTTGGGTGAGCTTGGGGAATAGCTTGGACTGCTGGGGCTGTAAGAAGGACTGGTCGGAGAGTAGCTTGGGGAGGTTGGGCTGTAGCTCGGACTTGTGGGCGAGTACGAGGGGCTTGTTGGGCTATAGGATGGGCTGGTTGGAGAGTAGGAAGGTGACTGAGGGCTGAAGTTAGGAGAGCTTGGAGAATACGAGGGGCTAGTTGGACTGTAGCTTGGGCTGGTTGGAGAGTACGAGGGGCTTGTGGGAGAGTAGGAGGGGCTGGTGGGGGAATAGGACGGGCTTGTAGGACTATAGGAGGGTGATGTGGGACTGTAGGAAGGAGAGGTCGGGCTGTAAGATGGGCTGGTAGGACTGTAGGATGGACTTGTAGGAGAGTAGGATGGTGATGTTGGACTGTAGCTGGGGCTTGTTGGAGAATAGGATGGGCTGGTTGGAGAGTAGGACGGCGATGTCGGACTGTAACTTGGACTTGTTGGAGAATATGACGGAGAAGTTGGACTGTATTTAGGCGAGGTTGGTGAATATCCAGGACTAGATGGCGAGTATGATGGACTTGTTGGCGAGTAGCCAGGACTCTGAGGAGTCATGGCTGGCGAGCTTGGCATGTAGGATGGAGATGCTGGCGAGTAGCTTGGTGACATGGCGCCACGAGGACTGGGAATGTAGGGACTGGCTGGCGAGCCCGGTGAACCTGGCTGAGGTGACCAGGCAGGGCTGTAGCCGGGGCTGAAGCCACTCTCACTAGCAGCTGACGGAGAGAAGCCCGCCTGTCCAGGTGTCATGCCGCTGCCAATACCAGGGGACCAGGCACTGGCGTAGGCGGGTGTGGCTCCCTGGTTCCAGGGTGTCATTTGTGGAGACATGCCGCTCACAGGGCTGCCAACACTGCCGAAGAACATACCAGTTCCTGCACCTGCAAGACAAATGAAATAATGACACGTCTGCCCAAACAGATGAATGAAAATACACTGAAGTAACAATAGGCAATACAGTGTACAGCCCGAAGTAATGTTTACTTGATCTTAAGTCTGAGGCAATTTACTGGTATGTGATGACACTGAGACTCACTACCTCAACCATTAAGTCGCCTTGTGTCACCAGCATGTATTGATAGAGAACCATTCCAACATTTGACTCCAATATTTGTTAGAGACTTTGGACATCAGTCTGAAGACTGATTCAAGTTCACATTACAGTGGACAAGTATTTGGACACAGTCCAGCATAATGAGTACATTCGTACCTGACATCATTCCTGATCCACCAGCTGTAGGGATTTCCATGCCGTATTTACATTTCTCTGCATCCAGGAGCAAGTCGAAACAGCCTGTGCCAATCTTGGCCAGCTGTCCCAGCATAATGTTTTCAGACACACCTTTCATCGGGTCATGCTCGCCGTGGGCTGCTGCCTCCATCAAAATGTCCACCTAATAACAAGAATTCACAGATTTTTTCATCTTTCACACAATACACATAAAACGTAATCATTTCATGATCAAATTAGTTGAGTTGCAATGTAGAAAGCAGAAAGTCACAAGAAACAAAAACTGATTCCATTCAAATATTCATCCACTGAAACATTTCTCAAGCAAATAGCCTGTCACAAGCAGAATTTTTAACTGGTCAATCATCTCATCTATCACAGAAAATTACATCTAAAATACGCTCACAAGTAAATGTTCCTTGCATCCACAAGAAGATAGTTCTGTTTGTTCATTATAACTGAATAAGGTAATTTTGTAATTCTTCATTACATAGTGACCATTCTGTTGATGATACACAACTAAATGTTTAATGTGTCTATTTTCTAGAACTTCCATCACTTAGGTTTATCAAAGCTTCCTACCGTTTCCTCGAAGGAGCATCTGGCCAGAGCACCTGTCTCCTGTCTGTTAATACCGTGACGTGTGATGGCCATCAAGTGACCCTTGGCTGTCATCACGTCACACAGAAGTGCCAAGTGACGGTAGTTGACATAGGAACCATCAAAAGAGATAACATGGTTCATCTCTTTCTCAATGGCTTTACGCACAGCCTCAATTCCCAAGGTCTGAAACAAAAGCATGTTCATAATTAACAGCAATCATAACCATCATCCATAAAGGGATGCTTGTCATAGCCCCAGCAGTTGAAGATTAGTTGAAGATTCCAACCAACACTCTCAGAGTCTGGCATCTAATCGCCAGCACTGTGTATTCAAACCTCAAGGAACAAGAACATCTTTAATATCCATGGAACTAATAGAAATATTCAAATATGGAAGATTTTTTCTGCTGACATTAATAAGGCCAAGTGGCTAAAATGATTTAGGTTCTGCAGCAAGGAACAAAAGTATTTGTAGGCCAAATTCCAATCAGAAATTTCTGCATTGACAATATAAGGGATCTACATTTAAGATATATCATCTGTGTATGTTTCAGTGTATGTTTAAGGAAAGTATTCCATCTTGTACTTACAGCAAACACCTCCACTATGTCATTAGTGTATGTCCTGATGGGGTCAATGTCTCGTTCACTCAACACCTTCATCAGGGCAGTACCATCCGTCTCCAGAATCCACTCAGCAGCAGCCTTGTATTCTCCTTCATCCGTGATGAAGATTCGCTTCTTGTCATCAGTGGTTGGCAAATGCATGTACACCTGAAGACAGATTGGAGACAGATGATGAGATGATGAGATACAGAAATCACTGAAATGTTGGACTCTGAGTGTGAATGGAGAGTGGGGTGTTACTGACCCCGACACTCCTCCAGAGGCCTAACAAATTATGTTCACTGGGAATCATGACGGAGGAAAAATTGTATGACAATCGAATCATTTAAATTGATACAATTCAGCATGCATATAAAATTGTTGTAAATTTCTGACAAATATTATGTGTTCATAAAGTGTAAAAATCAAACTTTAAGTTAAGCACTTGTTCTTGCCTAGGTTTTACACACTATAATTTGCTGATCATGACAAATGCATGCTGGAATATATTTATCTCTTGATGTAAAAGTAAAAAGGAGAGCTAAAGAAACACAACCCACCTTGGCAATAGCTTCAATGCCCTGGAGTGTCATGTCAGACAAGAGGTTGGCTTCAATACATCGGAGGAACACATCATCCTCCATCTTGTCTGCGATTTCCTCTTCCTGTAACACAGTAGAGAAGTCTACAGTACTAAAACTGCCTATGTTAAGACACTACCTGATAGGAGACACTACCTTATGGGCAGGAGTGCACTCTCAGAGAAAAAAATTAGAGTGATTCAGTTGATTCATCACAGAACATAGGAGTCAGATTATCATCATGGAGTGCACAGTAACAGGACATTTCTTCAAGGAGTGAGTGAGTGAGTGAGTTTAGTTTTACACCGCTTGTTGCAATTATCCAGCACTAGGCTACCCCACTGCCCCTTCTTCAAGGAATACACCCATTGTCTGGCTGGAGTATAAACATTTCACTGATAAGAAAATGGAAGGAAATATGTCTCAAACGTATAGAGCAACAGAAGGCTATAAAACATAGCTGTTTTCTCATACCTCATTTTTGCTTTCATCAGAGTTCATGATTCGGATTCTCAGAACAAGTTTTTCTGCATTGTCATCATTGAAGATGCAGTTGAGATCATCTCCAAAACCTGAAAATAGGAATTCAAATTATTGCTACTTTGCCTTAGATCAGGACATAGCATTGTTCATACCATCAAATCAGGAGAATTAAACAAGCCTAAAGATCAGTAATGTTTGACAATATGTTTATTGTTGCTCATGCTGCACAATGTATAGGGCCCGTAAGTAGGCCATGGCACTTTGCGAGATTTTAGAACTCCCGGATCAAACAACGTACACTTGGTACGGTCTAGTAAAGTCACATTTGGTGGTCACGCAATTTGGAACCAAAACTTGAATGAGCTTGTCACTGGAAATCTGGTAGCAGAAGTAAGCAGGGCCCGCATATCGCAAGTTTGCTGTGTGTAAAAGGGATCAGGGAACCAGCTTAGTGAAGGAAGTAGAGCCTCGAGACTTACAGGCCCCTATTTCAGTTGTATGGTGGCAGCTTGTAAATAGTCAAGTCTACACCAGATGATCCAGTCACTTGTCTGATGACCTAGAAGTGTCAGACATGATGCCAAACCTGACCCAACTACCCAGTCCAAATGTTCCCCTCTTCCTAGATCAGATTGAGTGGCTGTGATTCTAAGGTAACATTCCAGCCTGGACTCCCCCCCACTCTCTCAATCTTGCCACCTAAAGCAAGTCAACATACCTGCGGTGATTTTCTCCGAGATCTGTTCCATGGTGAGTTTCTTGTCTGTCATACGTTTCCTGTCCAACTCGATGCGGAGCAGCCAGGCTGAGATTCTGGACGCGTCGAAGTCAGGCATCTCATAATACACACTGACCCATTCCTGGTCCTCCACAATCACAGTGTTCATGGGGTCAGGGTCGTAGTAGATGGCTGTGTTTGCCGTCACCTTCCTCAACGTGGTGTGCTCGAGTCGACACAGTACATCCTGCAGAACAGCAAACAATCACTCAGTATGAACATGTCCTTCTGTGTCTCACACACAGGTTTACTTCCCCTTTACAATTCAAAAAAGTACTTTTCAAACACACCATTCCCTGGATTCATAAAGATGATTTAATGCCAGGTCCCCATCTTTTGGGATCATGACTTGAAAGGTTTTACATTACATCAATTTTAGCACATCACAGTAAATAGGCACTTTCAGATAAAAAATTAGAGTGATTGATAAATGTATCATCATTGCAAATATGAACAGAGCTTCATCACCAAGTGCCATCAAATTCTTGAACTAAACAAAAATCCACAGAAACAGAACATTGACAACAATATTACACACAACTCATATTGCATCACAAAATTTATCAGGGAATTTCCTCAAGTCCTATAAACTATTAATCAAAATAGTTTTAGTTTAATGAAACTTTCAGCTTCAGCTTGTGTTAATTTTCTGCCAAAAGTCACATCTATTGTGACATCCCTCCACAAAACATTTTATCATGACTTTTCGATTAGTCTCATCACGATTAGTCTCATCACTGACCTTGGCCTTCTCTGCATCCCTTGCTGCCTGGTCCAAAAGGTACACAGTCAGGGAGGGTGTCTTTGGCTTCTTGGAGATGTTGATGATTTCCTTCAGACGAGGTACACCCAGGGTTACGTTCTTGGCAGACACACCAGCATAATGGAAAGTGTTCAGTGTCATCTGTGTGGCAGGTTCTCCAAGAGACTGGGCAGCCAGGGCTCCCACCATCTCACCTGCATGGGCCTACAGATATCACACAAGAATATTAGCAAATGACACAACACTTCTGTTAGAAATTTTGCAGTGTTTGATTATGATTTGTAACTTCTGGAAAACACTACTGGTACTTACACAACCAGCATATGCTTCCATTAATTACACTTGAAAAGATGATTGAGAAAGGTTTGGTTTTTTTTTTTTTTTTGACTGTTCAACGCCTTACTCAGCAATATTCCAGCCACATGCCAGCGGTCTGTAAATAATCAAATCTGGACCAGACACTCCAGCATGACCATTGATTCATGCAATTGGGATACGATGACATGTCTCAACCAAGTCCCTGACCACCCAAATGCGCAAGTCACCTCTTACGACAAGCATTGGTTGCTGAAGCACAATTCTAACCTGGAACTTCGAGAGTATTACTCGGATGTAATTATGTCAAATAAACTTTCAAAGTGTAGACAAACAAACGGTAGGAAGCATTCTGTACTATACCTGAGCTTGTAAGAATTTTGTCTCAATTTCACCGATGATCCATTCAAATGCTTCTGCAGACAGTCTGAACCGTTGGCGACACGTTTTGCGCAAAGTGTGGCTCTCACTAAAATCTTCATGAGAATGGTGGCATTGGCATTAGCCTGGATACTGAGTCTGTCCTCTCCAGCCACCACGATCAGTCTACGGCACAGTTCTCGCACACCTGACAGAGGACAAGAAACAAACATTAGTTAGAAATGCTGCATGGTTAACACTTGGGAGGGTTATTGATACTAATGATATAAGTGTGAAAATGGATACATTGCAAATTACAAACATCTGTAAAATGATATAAAATTACTGGAGCAAATACTGATTGTCATTGTGTCTCCCCGTTTAGACAATGGATACTTTAGTGCCATTTTATACCCGGCCTTAAGAGATTTTATACAACAAATACTTCCACGCTTGAAGCATACACTTATTCAGTATGCTTATCTTCTCCACCTTTTAACAGGTGTAAATCTCTACAGATTCTACGGCATATCACCTCCATGTTTGCATGACAGTCATTCAGTAACATTACTCACCTTCCACAACTTTGATTGGGTGTAGATCTGCTGGTTTTCTTGTGTTGATCCGGAAGATTTTCTGAGCATTTGTGATCATTCTCATCAGATTGCATGGCAAAACAATCTTTCCATCCCCAGTTGGGAAAATCTGTCTGAGGGCGTTTCTGTCTTCTTTCAATTGCTCAAATTCCCGTTCCAGCTCAGAAATGACAGCTGGGTCACCAATCACATCTTTGATCACCTCCTCTGACAAACATCTTCTCAAATCCCTACAATTAAATTAATTTCTGTTATTATGAATGTCAGGGAGTTTAAAAAAAACCCAGGTTTCTTCTTAACATCACAAAGGAATATCTTTCTTGAACAGTAACTAATCATCTTTTCTGCAAGAATGGGCATCAATGTCTGCACATGATCTTACTTGTTTTCAAAGAAACATTTATTATGCAATTTTGACAAAATACAATATTTTATTCGAGTCAACAGCTTCAATTCACAAACCAAGCATACAGTCAGGAAAAGAAATCTCAAATTATGTGAAAATGCATAATACAGTGGAAGCTGTCAAAACCGGCAGCTGTCCAATCCGGCAAGTTGTCAACATCGGCATAAAATCTCAGTCCCGTCCATGGCTAGTACATTTATCATCATTTAAAAGCTCTGCAATCCAGCAGCTGTCAATTCGGGATATCGGCATGAAATGAGCCGCCCGAATATGGGTTTATACAGTAATCAGCGCAGTCTAAACGGGCGTGTTGCAAGGAGTCAGTAATCATGTGTTGAAACTACATGGTTGCTGACAAATTTAATCTTAGTTCAGTATGGGTGTACTTGTACATGTAATTAGTGACTTGAGAGAACCACCTTATACAACAATGTATTTGAGAGTGATAAAACTGGTTTAGTTCTAGTTGTAGGTTACCATGTCAGCTCTACATTCCGCACGCTGTCAGAACCGGATTATTTATTCAGTCCCGACATGTGCCGGTTTAGACAGCTTCCACTGTATAAACAGAATCCTGACTTAAGCATCCATCTAACATACCTTTCATTTGTTGGTTCAAACTTGAACTTCTTCTCGAAGGCTCTGTTTGATGGCTTGAGAGAAGGCATACTCTGGAACTCGACATGTGTGGCATCCAGACCATCCTCACCGTATCTCAACTGGACCAGCTGTTCTACCTGGTTACGGATTGTGCCATCATACTTGACCATTACACTCTCCATAGCCTTGATCAACCGACGCTGGATGTAACCTGAAGTGAACATGTACATGAGCCACTGTTCACGCGGAAAGTGAGTGAGTTTGGTTTTAGAGTTTTGAACAGTATTTCAGCTATATCGCTGTTTGTGTCTGAAATAAGGCAGGGTATGGACCTTAATCACTTTGATGAGATCAAACTAACAAAACTAATCAACGAAAATAAGTGATTCAAAAGCACACGATCCCTGGTCTCTCATTGCAAATCATGTCAAAGGGACACAACTCTGCAGTGATTTGAAGCAAACTATAAAATAGGTCACCAATTCCCCAAAGTAGTCAGGTACTTTTCTGTGTGTTGTTGTGTTGTCTTCAGTTTTGAAACTGCTGTATGATAATTAGCTTTCAACATGTCTACCTGAGAATTAATGGGAATGCACTCTCAGAGAAAAAAATTAGAGTGATTCAGTTGATTCACCACAGGATCTCTGATCAAGATTAGCATCACTGAGTGCACAAAATGTTATTTCCATATTGCATTCTATGATGTATGTCAGTTGTCTATACCATTTGTGTCAAGAACCTTACTACTGAACACAACTGCCTGATTACCCACCAGTTTCTGCAGTTTTCACAGCTGTATCAATGAGACCCTCTCTTCCACCCATGGCGTGGAAGAAAAACTCTGAAGGAGTCAAACCGGCAAGATAGGAGTTCTCAACAAAACCTCGAGACTCTGGGCCGTAATCATCCTTGATGAAGTGAGGCAGTGTCCGATGTTTGAAACCGAACGGAATACGTTTACCCTCAACGTTCTGCTGTCCCACACAGGCAATAACCTGATGACAAATGAAATAAGTTTAGCAAACAGAAGTATTATTGTGTTATATGTACATGTACATATAAATGAAAGTTAAATATAGTATGGAACAGTATATATAGAAAGTATAAAATATGTATTATAGGACATTAGCTTTCACAGCTAGTTTGTTGTTAAATGCAGCTCTCAGCTAGTTTCCAGCTATATGACAGTGGTCTGTACCAGTCAATCCAGTGACTGACATCATGAGCATCAATCTATGAAACTGCGATATGATGACATGCATCAACCAATTCCGTTCCCGTATGTTGCCTCTCATAACAAGCTTGAGTTACTGAGGGCCAAACCCAACCCGTAAAGGCCCAATATTGTTTTCTCTCCTCTTTGTTTTTACCCTGAACCAGGCAGATTGCAAACATCATTTTTCCAGCTATCATCAGATATATCACCATTTTGAGTAATGTGGTATGATAACCATGACAACAGGGATATTATTGTTCTCCATGAGTACCTGAGAGATATTGATTTTTGATCCTTTGGATCCAGCCACCACCATAGCCTTGAAGTTGTTGTACTCGGACAGAGACTTCTGAGCTTTACTTCCAGTCTTGTCACGAGCATCGTTCAGGATTCTGTTGACCTAAAGCATGACAGAAAATAAAAATGTATACTCTGATAACAAAACAGTAACAATACACCAAAATACACACCCTTTGTGACACATTATTTTCAGTCAGTGGATCACTGGGTTCTTCAATCTTCTCATTCTCAGTTCCATGAACACAATTATGAATACAACTCATGCAGCCTTGTGAAGGGGAAAAGGTACCTCTTAAAGTTTAAACATTAAACCCAAGGCAACATTCCAATTTGGGACTTCTTCTAGCATTAGCAGAAGACATGGAGCAAAATATCTGCCTCAGAAAAATGACATTAATCTTTGTATACATTTTTCATCAGCTCTCCCATACCTGATTCTCGAATGTCTGCCTGAGTGTGTTACCAGGTGATGGCTTCAACTCATCGTTGTGGGCTTTTTCAATGACCTCTATCACCTCTGTCTTGGCTTTTCGGATGGTCTCCTGAATTTCTATGTATGTCTCTGGATCAGCAATGGTGTCTCCAATACCAATGCTGTGACCCTCGATCAGCAGCCAGTTGTTCACACACGTCTGAATGTTACCATACAGTCTTCCTGCTGTGTCATAGCCCAGTTCCATGAATACAATATGCAGGAGAGCTCCAGAGGTGGCGCCAAGAGTCTTCTTACACAAGATTCCACAGATAAGTTCACCGTCTTCTATCAAGACCTAAGGAAGAAACCATTCCAATAAATGTGAATGCCAACAATGACATATTACGGAAATAAGGAATGAAAACATTCCTAAAATTATTTTTGGGGACAAAGGCCAGAAGACTCTACACATTAGGGCTGTGCAATATTACCGGTAAACCGGTACAGTATCTCGCGATCCGATCATCGCGATATGGTTCAGATTCTGCAATACTTGGGTCAGCCAGAGTTAGCTCCCTTTGCATTATCTGCCCTTGATTTCCAAGCAAAAAAAATGTGCTCTAAAAGTTCCAAATATACACATATTTCTGTTGGTTTCATGTAACATTTTACAAGTGGGAGTATCTTTATAATAGGCTCCAAAAGTGCCAAATATTCTACCAAATGCGTTACGTATTGTGGGTTTGAATGGTTTCATATGTGACATTTTGGAGGAATTAAGCACAGTGTATGATCCCATACAGTGCAAACCGAATATAGTGCGCTCTAGGCTCGTGCTTTGGTTCATAGATATGTCGTCTGAACAGGTATGCTCGATCAAAAACGTGTATTTAAAGACAAAGTACAGTATAACTTTACATGCAAATAGGCTGTGCTACAACATTAGATAACTTCGATATAACAGTTACAGTAATTATTAGCAAGATATTTGTATGTTAATGAAAACACAATTTTTTTCACCTCTTGCGCATCAGGTCAAATTCGACGAACTTGTGTGCTTTCGCTTTTACTCACATATACCATCATGTTAGCCCAAAGGGCTACCAGTATTCTATTCGTAATAGATTTTACAATGTATGTGTCAATTTTCATGTTTCAATGTTGTTTAGTTATGACAATATCAATGAATTCACTGGCAACAATGCAGCATCACTGTATTGGATTATAGCCGAAACTGTTTGTTTCTCTGTATGGAATACAGCACGTAACTGAATAACGTCCTGACAGAGCTTATTCAAAGGTGCGCTTTGATATATTTGGACACATTCAACGTATGTATTTATTGTACTGGTATGAGAGAACTTATTACGAAAACATATTTGGAATGTCTCCATTCACAAGTTACAGCTTTCAGAAATTTGTCATGTGCAAGAGTTTCTAAAGCTCTGAGTTGTCTCAACTGTCTAACGTGACCACTGCAAATCTTATTGACATCATGACCCAACGACTTGAACTACTCTTTTTTTTTTTGTTCGTCTGAACATTCCGTAACCTGTTCTAATTCATGAAATTCCAAACTGTTAAAAGTTCTTCACAATTTTTCCAAAATATGAGCTTCGTGTGATACTTAACATTTTCCGATGAGAGTCGGATGCTCCTAAACTCCACATAAATCAACATCCCCTAACTTTCCACCCGTACAGACATTGGTTTTCTGTCCATTAACACACATTTTGTAAGTGTTAACCTGTTTTGGGTCAGTTTTAGCAGTCCTGTCCTGCATTTGCAAGAAGGTACAAGTTGGTTGTCTTCAAAAGAACCTTTCATTCTGTCCAGAACAGTCTTATCAGGAACTGCGAAGTTTATTTTGGAATCATTGGGAAAATACACACCACTAGGGACTTTTCCCTACATGCAGGAATAACAATTGTCGACGAGGTCCGAGTGCTAGCTTCATGCGAGGAAAATGTTTTTGTATTCCTATATAGTTCCTCTGTTAACTCATTCATTGACAAGGCTTGCATCTGTCCAAACACACCCTCCTTCATATCACATGTAGACTTTTTCTTAAGGGGACTGAATACTTCAGTTTGAAATTTTGCGTTTGAAGAAAAAAAATTTAAGGTAAGATATTAGAATTAGTATTTTAATTCACTGGATGGGCCATTGAAATACAGTGGTCACTGGTAATGTTGAAAGAAAGTTGAAAGAATTTGTCCGAAAATCAGAATAATAGCAAACTGAAGTGTTCATTAGTCGACCTGTGTTGATTTAGAAGTGAGAGAAAATGATGCAAAATATAATTAGGAACTCCAATTATTTAGAAATGATAACATGAACTAACTAGAAACCGTACAGTGATTTTTTTTGAAAGCACTATCAACCAACTGTATTAGCAGCTATCAACTTGTACGGTGATGATGCATAGGTGGGTAACGTTTAACTCTTGTGTAAAGAAATGTACTCTATGTTAGGAATATTTCACACCATTTGAAAGCTTATTTATCACATATTTCATATGTTGTCAAATTATACCAAGAAACCATTGGCATACAGCCATGCACAATGAGGACTGGGAGCCTGAAAGTATGGTGTAACAGCAACGAAGAAGATAATGTCACACACACACACACACAGAGCTATTATGAATTTATGATGTACGCACTTGGGCAGAAACCCTCCATTCACTATATCACAATATACATTGCAATATCTCTTAAATTATTGCAATATATCGCAATATGAGAATCAGGGCAATATCCAGCTCTACTACTCATTAAAATATACAACAGAGATTCAGTATGACATTTTGCCTATGTTCAGACACTTTTACAACTGGGAACACCGTAAACCCGTGTTGTGGAATATAACATGAGACTTTGTCATGTGTAAGAGCCTCACTACTTGGCCACCTCAGTGTTCACGTGGATGTTGACTGTTCAGAGTTTAGTTGACCCAGTCAGTGAATACCTTGGTGTCTCCAGGAGATATCCACTTGTATGGTCCTTTGTCTTCATCATCTGGATGTGTGCTGTGAGTCCTCGTCACATTCACTCGACCAGGGATGACGATGGAGAAGATCTGCTTCCCCGTCCATAATGGCTTGGGTTTGAGGATGGCTGGAATCGGCAGTCTGCCATCCCACGTGGGCATGAACATCAACAGCTTCATCACATCACCCTGGATAAAACAAAATGACATTTCAAAGCACGGACATCACAAGTACTGCACAGAGTTGCCCTGCGACTTTCGCCAAAGATTATTTACTAAATAGAAGTTTAAATGTGTCATCTTATTTTATCCATTAACAGTTCAGAGTACGTGAAAGAAAAGATACTCACTCTGTCTAAAAAGACATCTCTCTTGGTCATCTTCCTGACAGCACACAGTGTGTCCTGCACAATACCCATAACAGGCCTGTTGGCCTGGGGGGTGATGATCATACGAGGGACAGCAGCCAGGTTATGAATCTCAGCCCGGGTTTCCAGTGACTGCGCCAAGTGAAGGTTCATCTCATCACCATCAAAATCAGCATTGTAGGGAGTGGTTACACTAAAACACAAAGTAATGGTGGCAATGTCAGTAAAATCAATCACTGACCATGTACCTGTAAGGGAGTGAAATGGAACTGACATTTTACAACCTCATGCCCTCAGAAAAAAAATTAGAGTGTCTAACGTATCCTTTCAGGAAATCAAGACGTTGAATGATAACATCACAGGGCAAGCTATAAACTCCAAACATTTAAGATGGTCGATGTTTTTGTGACAAAACAGTTTGTTTAAAACATAGTTCTTTTCTTGTGGTAGGCATTGACAAGTCGTGACTTCTCTTTTCTTAATGTTTAGGTTAGTGAGGTTCTAGAGATGTACCTAACATTTGACTTTATTCTTTGAAAAACATACCTGAGATTGAGACGGAAGGTTGACCATGGCAAGACCTTAACTCTGTGACACATCATACTCATCTTGTGGAGAGTGGGCTGTCGGTTGAAGATGACCACGTCGTCATCTTGCATGTGTCTCTCTACCTGCAACACAGCAATATTCACTTTGGGTAACTGGCAATAGCACACCAACACACCAACAATGTAATTACTTCAGTCAACCTCTTTAAGGCAGCTTAACTGTTGATTGTGTGGAGCCCTCAGAAAAAAATTAGAGTGTTTAACGTAACTATCAGATAGTCAAGACGTTAAGTGTTTTACATCATTGGGCATGGAAGTGAACAATGTTCAAATAGAATGAACCAACAGCTCTTGCTGCTTTTTATGTATGTTTTGAACTAATACTGGCATGTAATGACAAGTTACACAAAACATCAATTTTGTGAGTTAAGCATTGCATGGCTATTCAACACCATATGAATCATACTAGCAAGTGGTAGAGAGTACAAATCAACCAGGTTTACTATCTTCGACTTCACACAAACCTTGTAGCCAACTTGGAGATGCAGGTCTGATGACTTGGGATGAAACCGGAGATCAATCCTCTCTCCATTGTCTCGAATGATGTACTTGGCTCCAGGATACTGGTTGGCTCCACGACGTACCAGCTCCTGCATTCTGCAATGATCATGCAGTACTATGAGACAAAGCAGTGCTGGATGGGACAGAATAAAAACCGCATCTTTATACACATCCCATGACACGATATCCTTGATTTATGTCGTCATATCCCGTTAGATGAGATGAAATATTTGCAGTTATTAGATGGTGGTCTGTAAATAACTGAGTCTGGACCCGACAATTCTTTGGTCAGTGGTACTGGCACTAATGCACAATAATGGGACACAATGACATGAATGTCCACCCAATCCACTTCCTGCCTCTTATGACATGCATAGCTTGCTCGACACCTATATTCTAAAACAGAATTTCGATGTGATGTGATGATATATTATGTATTGCATTGTGACATGCGCGTTTCAACCCTCAGAAAAAAATTAGAGTGTTTAATTACTATCAGATAGTCAAGACGTTAAGTGCTTTACATCATCGGGCTTATAAATGTCACAATCAAACCAAGTCACCTTAAATACATGAAAGTTCCAAGTCTGTGCACACACTGTCAATGATCAGTACAACGTATTTTGATTATTATCAGTTTATTTTAACCACTTACCTGTCAATGTTGAATGGTGTGACAAGTTCTGGAAATGTAAGGTTCTGTGCAATGGTTCTGGGAACACCAACTTGGTCAACTCTTAGATTTGGATCTGGTGTGATGACAGTACGTGCAGAGAAGTCCACACGCTTTCCCATCAAGTTTCCTCGAACTCGTCCTTCCTTTCCCTTCAGTCTTTGTTTTACTGACTTCAGGGGACGGCCTGACTTTTGTACTGCCTGTAAAATTCAACAGATTTCTTATTGTTGATTTCAAACTTACATAACAGAGCAATTGTGTTCCAAATGACATCAGGTGACATCATAACCCTAACAAAGATACCATAGCAAGTGGATGTAGGGTATTTGTTCTGATAGAATGTACTGGCTAATGAAGGATGAAGTGTATGAGAAAATGCAGGTTTAGAAAATATATTTCTATCAGTCTCTGAAAATTAGCGTTGGGAATTGGTTAGAATCTCACAATTGATGATTGGTTCATTACAGAAGATCAATTATCGAAAATAATTGGTTAGCGTCATTTATCAAATTCTCCTGGTTATGTTTGTTAACGCACCAAAACTATAGAAAAAACATGTAGGTCTTTTGGGATTTATTTGCAAATTGCACAATATGCATTTACTAATGTCACATCTTTAAAGGATGACTGGTATGTTAGGAACATAAATTTCCTGGAGTCTTTAAGATAAATTCAATCATGACAAGGAACGAGCTTGTAGTGCTTATGAAATGAAAACATTGTTAATGCAAACAAGTGTTCCAAAACTGTTTGTGTTCGATTATGAGAAAACATGATCTCTACTGAAAATGCTATTGAATTGCCGTCTACCTTAAGTTTCACAGTGGAGTCCTCAAGGAAATGTCATTTTTCCTTCCTGAATCATGCTAGAATCAGACTAATGGATTATGTTCTTTGCTAAGCCTGTCAAGAGAGAGTTACATTACTTACCCTTGGCAAACCAGGCAGCTCGTTGTCTACCAGTGTGGCACAGTGGTACTGCAACATCTTTGTGTCTTCAGCTATGATGTGAGCTGCAGCTCCGTTCTGTTCATTCCGCCGAAGCTGGTTGTTGGCCTTCACTATGTCGGCCAACTTGTGAGTTAAATCATCCTTGAGACAAGAGAGATACATTATTGTACTGAAGGAGCTTACAGATTCAACATACTGATGATACTGAACAAATTTGCAAAAAACATGTCACTTATGTTCAAGTCAAGAAGTAGGGTAATCAGAAGACAACGGTGATAATTCTATTAGACTTCAGAATTTGACCTTCATTACACTGAAATACCAACCACACCTGAAATGGTCCTCACACATATACCTATGTGGGGAATCCAACTCGGGTCCATGGTGTGATGATCAAACGTATTAACCACAAGGCTACCCCACTGCCCCAACACATGGATAATGAACACTATACAAGCTTTATGGAAAACATCATTTACAAAATAATCCCTAAATTCAGAAATTGAAAAGGATAATGCAAACACGTCATAGTAAAATGACACTGAGCAGGTTTTGTTGACACACTAATTCCAATAATGCCCCATGCCCTGTGACACAAAGTTGTGTCCTATGTATTTTGCTGGTGACATTTGTCCAGAGGGTACAGAAATTCGAATTCACTAGAGTAAACTATGCATCCAGCCCTCAGAAAAAAATTAGAGTGTTTAACGTTACTGTCAGGTAGTCAAGACGTTAAGCATGTTACATCACTGGGCTTTTGCAAATCTATAATACCCGTAGCACGTACTGTACATGTTAGTTAGGGATGGACATGGACATCCACAAGCCCAAATTTTGATAACATACAGTAATACGCAAAACAATATGTGAAATTCTACTATCTCTTACGATAGCTTAAACATTATTAAAACTGGTTGACGTTGCAGGCTATCACTAATTTCTATCCCCCAAAATCAATCAGAAGTAACTGACACTTTCAAGTCAAGATACTCAAAACAACAAAAACAATTTTTTTTAATTCTTTTAGTCCCCATACAGCCTTTGAAATTTGGGGTACCTAGGATCACTGGGGTTTGCTCCAGTAGTACATAAATCTGGAGACCATCTCAGTTCCTAACATTCAACAGTAGGGTCATGACAAGAACCCCTGACTTTCCTGCTGAATTTCAAGCCTGAATTTAACCACAGACCCTACACAAATACTTCCAATGAAAGTAGCAACACACCTGATTCCTTGCCGAACCGAACATGACAACAGCTGGTCTCACAGCCAATGGTGGCACTGGATACACTGTCAGAATCATCCAATCAGGACGTGCAAATTTTGGGTCCATTCCCAGAATCAAACACTCTTCATCAGAAATTCCTTTGAAGATTTCAAGTACTCGTTCCGCGACAGAACAAGTTTCTTCTCTTGTGACTCCTCATTCACATTCTTCCATTCTGCAATCACCTCAAGACCAGTTCTCTTCAGTTTGGGTTGGTATCTGCCACACCCACCATGGCCCTGAAATCATTGGTTCATGAAATTGAGCAATATTCTGATTAGCAAAGATTTAAACCAGGTTACAAGTGATATTCTCTTACCACATAAACTGATTTTATTACCCATATGGGAAGGACACAGGGTAGTATTTTTCCTGTAAGTCCCTAGGGAGGTTACACCTTTTGGTGAATGCTGATTGGCAATTTCAGAAAAAAAAACCCAACTGATTCATTGGTTAAAAACAATATGCTGTGCTTGAGAATTACGTAATTGATATAACTCGGGACAGATAACCTGTCAATATCCGTCACTCATTAGTTATTGTCTAAGTCTTACCCCAACCTGGCGATACCATGATGTATCATTACCCTAGCCTGCTAACAATGTATCATTATCCTAGCCTGTTAACAATAGCATATACCTCATTCTGTTGTTGTATTGTTATCCTAGCCTGGTAACAATTATACATACCTTCTTTTCAGCTGTTGGATCTTCCTCCTCAGTCCGCTTGTCCATTTCATCTCCACCTTCACAAATTTTACGACTTTTGCACAAGTCATACACGTGAGCAAGTCGCTTGCGAGGATGGCCTTTAGATTTGTTGACAATATCTTTTATTTTGGGACCAGTCTGTCAAAGAACAGAACACAATGGTCTGATTAAAAATAATCATTAGTTATTTATCCGGTTCTCAAAATTTCACACAACCTGTAATGATTTGCACTTTTCAAATCAAGAGAAAATTGGGTTCCAATATTTGCTGAGTTCTGCAATAACTAAAACAGGATATATCTCTGACACTACCTCAGATAAGGTCCAACATTGTAACAACCTGTACCTTGACATCAGTTGGCACATAAGACAAGCATGCATTCTTACCGCCCATTCTCATCAGAATCGGAATAAAGACCACTTACTGAATCCACCAGCATCTTTGAACAGAAGAAACAGACACATCGCAACACTTTGATTGTCTTCACTAGAAATCCAACATGAAACACAGGCTTAGCCAGCTCAATGTGCCCAAAATGTCCTGGACATTCTGTCATGTTGCCCGCACAGGTCTGACATCGGGACATTCTGTCAATAACTCCTTGTCGTGGGTCCATCAGGCCGCCTATCTTTGGCCGACCACCTTCCTGGGTTTCGGAGTATTTGATGCCCCCCTCAGTCACAGACATTCGTTTCTGCACAAAAAAAGAAAAGGTATGGTTTCATACAGTGTGCAAAATAGCCACTGGCCCACTATCCAGTGGCTAGTACAAATCAAGGTGGGCCAGTAATCTCCAGTCACTGGCCTGACTGGCTAGTGAATTTTCATGGGGTCATTTTGTAAATATATCACTCTCTCCAACTTGTTAAGTTATAATACACTTTTAAATCATGCAAGATTATGGCCTGATAAAAATGTTCACCATATTAGCAGCTTAATGGTGAAACCTGTTATGCGGACAATATTTTATTCTCATCTTTTTGTACTCTTTTGCTTAGTTTCTACCGTCAAATTTTCGACTAGTGAATTATTTTGTGGGCTAGTAATTTTCAGGCATAGCTAGCATGACTGGCTAGCAAAGTTTGGCAACTAAGTCGCACACTGGCTTCATGGGCGGATCCAGGAATTTTGAAAGGAGGGGGTTCAGGGGGTTCAAACCCCAATTGGCTCAGCCAATGCAAAAAAGAAAATCTTCAATGTGATATTTTGCACTCCTGGCTCAACACGCAGACTGATAAGCATGTTTACTGTAGTGCAGCTAGGTACACTTAAAGTAACATATCATTTTTCAGTGTTTATATGCTTGTTGACTTTCCATCCAAAAACATGGACAATGGGCCAACATTAAACTTGCATCCTGAGTTTGTGTTATTATTTCTATTCTTATAAACACCTATGTGATGATAAGCTGTTATTATTTTCTATTCTTATAAACACCTATGTGATGATAAGCTGTTATTATTTTCTATTCTTATAAACACCTATGTGATAAGCTCTTATTATTTTCTATTCTTATAAACACCTATGTGATGATATACATTATGACTTTGTATCGTACTGGTTCATGCGTAATGTGCACTCTTTTAACAATAGCTGCTAGTGCGAAGCCAGAGTCTAGTAAAGTCATGTTTGGTGTAGTCAGCTCAGCTCGTGAAGGTTCACAAGATAACTGAAACATCTACTTAAATAAATGACTGTCATGTTAGGGGCAGTAGACACCAATTTTTTTTGTGCCCTGACAGCGTGGGTGGTTCCGTATGGTGACTAGGGCTACAACGATTTGGTTTGATTCATCAAAAATTGAATCTGACACCATATTTTCGATAACCGCTATCACTATTTCGATATTTGAATACCAATTTAAATTATTTCCGCACAGCCAGAACGAACACTTGACTCCCAACCTGAGCAGTTTCGAGCGCTGAAATAAGGCAAAACGTGATTGGTTGACGCCAAGCTAATTATCCAATATGAATTTTGTTAGTAGACATCGCCAAGCTGACGATGGATATCACGCTTATAAAGCCAACTCAGAGAGTTAAATGAAATCTGATGTTTTACTTGTATGAAGAAACGAATCGAAAATGATCGAATCGAGGGTCCAATATTGAAAATCGAACTGAATCTAGTCTGGGTGAATCGTTGCTGCCCTAATGTTGAGACCTACAGGCTATCCAGCAGGCAGAAATCCAATATCTATCTGAGAACTGATGTCATTAACAAACTATTCATAACATTCTGTCTTAAAGACCATATCTACCAGAGTTGTTTTTCCAAATTGAAGTTTATTTCAAATAAATATTGGTCATGGCTCTTAGACCTTGTAGGGCTTAACACTGGGACAACAGCTGAAGTTACTGTTGCTATTAGTAACAATATATAATGTGAAATTCAAGATCATTTCATTATACAAGCAAGAAGATAGCCTCTTTTCTGGTATATTTGTTTAAAAAAATTCAAAACCACAACTTCTACGTTTGTGTACAGAAACGTCAGACAAACATTTGGATGGAACTGAAGACCATAGGTTTCCGGATGTCACACCTTTTCAGACGGCAGTGCTTCCTTGGGCAGTAACAAGGTGTGGCGTGTCACAGATTTTGTAAAGTTTTGAATTATGGCTTAAGTATAGGATAAAGTAACCTTCCATAATTTAGCGAGATGTTTAACAATTGCTCATGCCCTGGTCGAGACAAATGGATGTTCTAGGTGTCAATAAACCTATAACGCAAGGATAAATTTAAGCAAATGTATCGCTACTGGCCGAGATTATTCCTTATGTAATAATACATTTCACACTCCAATTGTAAAGTTTACACATAGAAAAGAATGTTGTGGGATGAGCTTGATAAGCTGTAGCATATATCTTTGTATATTGTGGCTTTCAGACTTTCAAACAATTGTTGTAGGATTGTTAGGCCTGATCCCTTGAACAGCTGTAAAACATCTCGTTAATTTACTTATCTTATTAAACAGTAGCCATTCTCTGAGTAGGTACATTTTTTGTTTTATATTCCCCGTTACAGTGAGAGTAAACCCTGGCATCTGAAACGGTACAATATCTTAAGACATGCTCTGAAGATACCGAAAAAGCTGATTTGCATAAGCTTGTTTAGCCTAAAAATCTGGACTAATCAAGGTCTAAGAAGTAAGGCTGCAGTCAGTTGTTAAGCAAATGACAATAGAAAACTGAACTTGAATCACAGTATTTGAAAAAGTTGGGTCTTATAATCGATTTATTAAATATAAACAGATCGAAAGTGCTCTTTTTAAAAAAATAGTTTCACGAGCATGTAAACATGAAAATAATACTTCCTAACATTCGCGAGTCAATCTTCGACAAAAACATTTGAACACAAACGTACAATCTCATCTGGTCCCAATATTCCGAACTGGACCTTCTTCACCAGCATAACTGGGGCATTCGAGTCTCCCACAAACGCCATTGTGAAAATATGGCGCGTCGATGCGTTCCTGGATATATGAAGAAATCCTCGGTACTACAAGAAATAGACCAGTTGTTTCGACTAGCTATTTGATCAGTAAGGAGAACAGAAACATTTGTGTCCCCCTGTAACGTGTCGAGGGGAACGGAAGCCTTTAACTTCTAAGACTTTTCAGTCTCGTTTCCCCTCTCCTTGGTCCAATGTCGGACCGATGGCTTCCGAGCTTTCCTTCTGCGTATTTATACCTTTTGGTCAGCTACGGGTTCAACCTTTGCTTAACATGGGCTTCGTTGTGCAATCGTTCAATGTCGGTAATTTCCGTCAGTGCGATTTTAACCGAAGAGAAGGTGAAGGTCATTAGTGCGCCAAAATAGAAATGATGCGCAGCATGTTTACAATCATGAGACTATATTTAAGCTGGTTCCCGGCTCCCTTTGCGCGCGCTAAAGTTCGCGATATGCGAGACGGGGCCCAGCTTAGAGACTATTTTGCCTGGACCAGGCCAGATCTTGCGCTCCTCGTCGCACTTGAGCAGACGAGCAGAAACGAAGAAACAGGACATTAAACCTGTCTGGTTTAAGATTGCAATAATATATTTTTGTGTGCCAAAAGAGTGTGATCAAATCTTAACCACATCATACCACATATCCTCCGCGGCCATGCATTTGGCTGCCATCATGGTTCTTGCTCAACACGATCGGGGGAAACAAGATCGTAGAAATCCTAAATTAAAAATCGCCCGTTCCCCCGACCCAAGTTACGTTTGTCACATATGGCTACAAGACAAGTACTTTTGACTCCACGCAACTCTAAGCTAAAGTTCGTGTTCACCAGAGCATAACAGTAATAAATACACATTTCAATTGTGCTCTTCTAAGTTATGCATCGATTAGTATTTCGTGGAACTTGACTGCGTGACATATTTTCACAATGTCAACGGGAGACTCGAATGCGCCACTTATGCTGGTGAAGAAACTCCAGTTCGGGATATTAGGACCAGATGAGATTGTATGTTTGTGTTCAATTGATTCATTGATTTTACACATTGATTAGTCATAGTGAATTTCCGAAAGTCTAAGCTACACTTACCCAAAGTAAATTATGATAATGTGAAATACACAAGGCTTGTCAACAATATTACCTTCCAAAAATAAGGCTGTGAATCTGTTTAGATGTTTATTGTACAATAATTCGAGTACAACACTGCACTTTTCCAAGTTCAGTCAGTATTCTACTGTAATTTCATTGAAGTTGACAAGAGCTTCTTTAAGAGGCATTTTAGAAGTTGTATAGGTGAAGGAAAACCAAGTTCTATGGATAGTCAACTTCTTTATTGCAATGAGTGCGACATATCCTTGTAGGTACTAACCCCGTTTTCCAGTCTAAGTAAACTTAGACTCAGTATTATTCGTTACACTGCTATACTGATAGCAGTGTAACGAATAATACTGAGCCTAAGTTTACTTAGACTGCCCCGTTATCAAGCTTGCAAGTGATACAAAAAGTTGTAACAAGGAGAATATATACATAGCTGCATAGTGGGTAGTGTTGGGAACTGATTAAAATCTTATAATTGATGATTGGTTCATTATAACAGATCAATCATCGAAAAAATTGGTTAGCATCATTATTCAGATTTTCCTATTCAGGTAGTTATTGCAGATATGTATAACATGATGCAACTTGCTACTTTAAAGTGATGACTAATATACCATGAACATAAACTTCCTGGAGTCTTCAAGAAATAGTCATTACTTTTCAGTTAGTGAAGTGAGTATTTTAACAATTAAACACGTTTTCAGGCCCTGACAACTTTGAAGATATGTTCCATCGTCAAGTGTTTCAAAGACTAAACCAGTAGTTCCAAAATCGTTTGTGTTCGATTATGAGAAAATGTGATCGCTTGCTTGGTCATTTAGTCACTGCGACCAATCTTCGATTATTTCAATTAATCGGAACCCCACTAATAGTGAGTATATACAATTGACAAGGTTGATATACACTGGATGCTAATTTGTGTTCGACAGTTCCACTGGCCTTCATTAGATATTCAATCATGTCTTGTTAACAACTGCAATTGATCATTTTGTTTTAGAGACTGTACAAGTGGGCAGATATACACAGGTCTTATGATAGTCTTATGATTTCCCTTGTTCCCACATTCTATTGCACAAGTTCTTTCCTATATTACCTAGAATAGCTGCAAAATTGCTGATGCAGCGTTAAATGATATATAATCTCTCACTCACACTTTATCTACATGTTTGGCTTGAATGTACATAATTGCTTTGTCATTTTAATACCCAATTGTTTATCTTACAATATATATTGACTCGGACATATCCACTGATAATTTGACATAGATATCCAATGATTTACATGTAGCTTATTTAAACTGGAAAGCTTTTAAAATATGTACCAGCTCTACCTCTCAATTTCAGTTTTAATAAGTGGGTCATTCTCAAAATTTGCCCAACTTTTGGTCAGTAACACATTGCTCTGAAAATATTGTTTCAAATTTTTTTCAAAAATCATATTATGAAAGAAAAATGTATTTTGTTCCTCATAATGATGTAAAATAGTGTACCTGTTTGTTATTTTTGGGACAAAATTGGGTTTTTATCATCATTTTGAAAGAAAAACCACTGTCAGTGGACAGCGACATTACTTTGCAGCACCATAAAGTTTAAATTCCAGGGTATTTATACATATTTTTTAAAGATTTATAATGAAACACCAATATTAAAAACACATTCCTGCATGAAATATTGAAAACAAAATGAAAATCACATAACTACAATGAAAACAATGACTGTCCAAAATGTCACAGTCAGTGGTGTAACGAATATAAACATGTGACATTAATAATTATCTCGTTTGAGTAAAAAATATGAAACACTAAATGGTCCCTTTGCTGATGACTTTCTTCTCGTGGCAGAAGTTTTGTGGAGGCCAAATTTTATTTTGATGTTGAAGTTTGATGCAGTTGGTGAGTCTACTTCATATCATAACTTTTATCGCGTCAGTGGTGTAACGCTGATTTCTTATTCATGTGTTCTTTTCATAACAATGTTTATCTAAAGTACATCAAAGTTGCTAAAACATCAACATTTATGCCAGGTGGTCTGTGATTAGGAAGCATTAATTGTTATAAAGTTCATAAAAGTGGGAATAGGTCAGTGGTGTAACTGTCAGTGGTATAACATTGGAAAATGTTACCACTGACAATTTCTGTTACACCACTGACAAAATGTTCATTTAAGTCACTTGTTCACAAAACTCAACTGCTTTGCATTGTATTTATCCAGTATATTTTATTACCATTAACTCATGTAAAGTCTGTGAAGGTAATTTGTTCTGGTATATTAGTATATAAAGTTCAGAAAAATCAGTGGTGTAACAAAAATGTCATTGGTGTAACAGTATTACTACAATATGTTCATTTTATTGTTTTTAATATTATTTTGAAAAACCTTTTTAAAATCTGAGTGTTCAAAAGTTGCTATTGAGCTGTTTAATTATATTAATGATCAATTAAAGGCAATTAATTTGAATTTATCGTTGAAGTTAATTCAATAAAAATCAGTGGTGTAACAAAAAATGTCATTGGTTTAACAATATTACTACTATTTGTTCAGTTTATTGATTTTGTATATTATTTTTTAAAAACCTTTTAAAATCTGAGTGTTCAGAATTTGCTGTTGAGCTGTTTAAATCTGTTAATTATCAATTAAAGGCAAGTAATTTGGATTTATATTTAGAGTGAGGTAAAGAAAAATCAGTGGTGTAACACAAAATGTCATTGGTGTCACAGTACTCTTTGAATTTGTACATTTTAATCTTAACTGTTGATATCATTTGTTTTCCAACGCCACATGTTGGAAAGCCGTTCTCAAATGATGATTATTAAGTAATCCAAAGCATCATATGGCTGTTGATTTGGTTTACTGTTCCAGTAAGTTGCAGAAAGTTCAGTGGTGTAACAGGCAGGATATCAAAATATATCAGTGGTGTAACATGCATATTTGCTAACATTTAATTATTTCAAAAGAATAATTTAACAGTTAGACTGATATTTTATGATAACTTAAAACAGCTTTAATAGCACTGTATACATAAAACATGATCAGTCTTAAGTATACAAGTTATTTCAGAAAAAAATATCATATGTTACCATTACATTCTTCTCACACCAAGCCCTTTTTGCCAAATTTACAATTAAATATGTGAGAATAATGAAACGATTTAATTTATACTTGAAAATAGAAAAAGTTTGTAAATAATGACAAATGTGAAAAATTCCTTATCTGACATCAAAGTTTGAAAAAAGAATACTTTTATGCTTGTTACACCACTGACGGGTTTTTTCAGTGGATACTTTAAAAAAGTTTATTTTAAAAATATTTTATTACTTTCCTGTGTGCAAATTATCATGACCGCATTCTTTAAGGTGTTGACCATTCATAACAATTATGAGATAATTCAGTATGATGCTTTGTATTTTCATATTTTTCATAGCACGAATTTGGCCTTTTTTTGAGAATGACCCAAGTAATTTTCTGGTATTTTTTCAAGTATACAAAAACAAATATAAAAAATATTGAACTGATCCATATCCAACTGATCAACAGTCCATCGCACGCAGTCAGTTGAAAATGTAGTCAAAATGGTGATGAAATGTTATAATATAGAGCTCCAGTGAATACACAATGTCAGGTCAGTTTTACACAGCTGGTAAGTAATAGGTATAAATGTTCAGCAGACATTTTGGAAGCACTCCACGTAGTGGTGGTCCGATTAATTGAAATAATCGAAGATTGGTTGCAGTGGCCAAACGACCAAGCAATCGATCACATTTTCTCATAATCGAACACAAACAATTTTGGAACCGCTGTAATAGAGTTTGAAATACTTGCTGATGGAACATATCTAGGATGTTGTCAGGGCCTGAAAACGTGTTTATTTCTAAGAAAACTCACTTCACTTTCTGAAAAGTCATGACTGAATATTTCTTGAAGAATCTGGGAAGTTTATGTTACGCTGGAACTGAATCATTTTACACTGGATGTGAAATTTGCAAATGTAATTTGTGCAGTTTCAAAAAACAACAGAGAACCAAATGTTTTTTCTTTATACTTATCTGCAAATACAACCTGAATAGGAAAATCTTAAAAATGACGCGAGCCAATCTTTTTTCGATGATTGGTCGTTGGTATTGAACCAATCATCAATTGTGAGATT